CTTCATAAATAATTTTATTTATTTAATATCGTTAGTTATCAATAATTACAATTTAAAAATGAACAATTGAATATATTTAATTAATTAATTCAATATCAGAGCCTATCAGTCCATTTAAATTGTCATTTATATTCAAAGATAATAACATATATAAAATAGTAATTTTCATTATCAGTTATTTTTGTTTGATGAATAGTTTGTTTAACTGTTTTAATAGTTACAGGTGTGTTCACAATCTCCACAATATTTGTTCAAATATTTAACATCACTATTGAAAGTTTCAAAAATGTTCTTAAATATATCACCATCCCCTCCCCACATACATTATTAGAGTTAGGCTGGAAATCGAAAACGTTTTGTACCAAATATAAGCTCATGTCATGCTCAAATACCATGAATGGGGTACTTTGGGATTCAGAATTTCACAGTTAGCGAATCGTACTCTCCGCTTTTGATTCTTTCTAAAATAATTGAAGTCGCATACAAACATTTTGCTAGGCTTCAATACTGGAACGGTGGTAAGTATGTAGATTGATATGGGACAAATTGGGCTTTGAAGATTTCGATGCGTACACCAAGAATCGGATAGCTTCTTTAGAACTATCGGGCCCTGCGTTTTTAAGCCCCAAAACGTACTGTTTTCGAGATAATGCAAGGCAAAGTGTTCGCATCCACACAACTTTACGTTAATTGTAGTATTGTCATGGAATACTTGTCTCATTTCGTCGACTTGATGTCCCTATGATCGAGAGAGGAGTTTATAATGTTTATCAAAGGTTTTTTTTTTTGTCCAGGTGCCGGAGGGATTTTAAATTCCCCGCTCTCACCCTCCGGCTCGGGAAAATCCCGTGTAGCCTAAAAGGCGAGGTAGGAAGAACAAGAAAAAAAAAAAGATCGGGATTGGTCTATTGACATGTCTACATAGACAAACTGAGACATGCGTCAGAGACCGAAATCGCACGACATGGCTACTAGTGCGTATTAGACTTTATATATAGTAATGTTTTGATTTTTTAAAACCAAAACAATTTGACTACAGCTCGGATGTTTTCGGCAAGAATTACGATTTTACTTGATAACACTAATTTAAGTGCTTTAAAACGCAGATCAGATGTCCGTTTCTGAAGTATTTAAAACACAGTTTATCACGCCTCGATCCTTCAACTTTAGAAACCTCCCAATTTTTACAAATACTTCCAATCAACTAATTTTTATTGGAATTTTAAGATCGAAATAGAGATTACTAAATAGAGTCTAAGAAATTCTCTTTCCTTTTATACATCATTTTTCGAAATCCATCACTCCTAGAAGGGATTCATACTACTTACTATTTTACATAAATAGGCTGCTCCAGCTGTTCCGACTGTTTTCGTATGCACAGTAAAGGTCTTTTAGCCTTGTTAATTCTAAGGCCAACACATTCAATAACATATATCTTTATTGACTGAGAGCGGACACATCAGGTTGTTGCTTAACTCATAATGTCCCACAATTTTTAAATGTATGGTTCTTTGGTACTCGGCTCCAACCATAACATCCAACAGAGAGCAAAACGAAGGTATCTTTTAAGAACTTGCAACTTAAATAACTTGTCTTGATTTCCTTCAGCGTTTGCAAATTAGATATTGAACTGTAGCTAATGACTATGTGTAAAAATATATTTATTTATTTTTTACTAACTGTAGCTGTTCGACACCCTTATGTGTGTTCCTACCTAATTTCTGAATGATCTTATACCTTATATATTCAAAGATAGTTATAAAATGTTACTTACCTCTAGTTATAAAATCATATCATTTATTTAAAATATAGAAATTACAAGTTAGCTGCGGTTACGGTCCCCGGCGTCTATGAGATATAATGATTATTTACGTTTGTATCTATCTTTACATCTATCCGACTCCCATTCAAATATTTTAAAAAATGACCATTTTGGATACTTCGTAAGATATGGAAAATTCGAAACAATTTCGGCCAAAATCGAGGCGAATATAGGAACTCAGGGACCGTAATCGCAGCTAACGTGTTCATCAGCTTGGCTCATACTTCATATTAAAGTTACTTTTAAAGGGATTCCTGCTAAAGAATAATTTTATCGAACTAATATTTTCTTCTATTGAACCTCTTCTAACTGAACTTAAATCCCTTTTATCCACTATTCTAGAACTCCTAACTAAACTAGTTTCTACTTTCATTTCAAATCCTTCCAATGACTGATTCAAAACCACCTTCTCTTAGAATACTCCAATGGTCTGCTCCAACGAAAAAATGAACTTGAAATTTGTTTAAAAGAACATGACATAAGCATAGCCCTGATTACTGACACTCATTTAACAGACAAACAAACATTCAAGCTAAAAAATTGCGAAACTTACAGAATTGACCATCCAGACCAGACAGCACATGGAGGAACTGCAATTATTGTGGACAAATCCTTAAATCACCATATTCTTCCTGCTGTTTTTTACAAATTTCCAACAATACACCAACATTTTCCTGAACTCCTCAAAATCACGATCACCTCAGTCTATACAGCTCCCAATAAAGTTATATCCACGAATGAATTAAATACTATTTTCTCAATAATGGGAAAATCATTCATTGTAGGAGGAGATTTTAACGCTAAAAACAAAAGGTGGTGCTCTAGATTGTCCAATACTCGTGGAAAAAGACAACAAAAATGTATTGAAGATTTGAAATTTTCTGTAATTTCACTATCTCAACCTGCTTACTGGCTACTTCACTATCAACTCTTACTAAGTCTCCTGATCTTGTTGATTTCTTTGTGACTAGCTCCTTACCACATGCACATTCCAACGTTTCCTCTCTCCTAGACCTTTCATCTGATCATCGCCCAATTTTACTTAAACTTTTGAACAACCCTTTCGTTAAACTTAAACTCCCGACATTTATTAACAGTTACATAAACTGAGACGACTTTAAACATTTTTTGAACAACAAAATTACGTTACAAACTTTCATTAGTATAGATGACGACCTCGACAATGCAGTCAACGACCTAACAAAAAGTATACAAGAGGCTATTTGGCATTCCATGAGACCACCTTACCTACCTCAGCCAATACATAATCATATAAAAGAAAAAAGGCAAAGAACTAGAGATCCAAAGAACTATATAGAAACAATAAACAATAGAAATGGATCAATATGGACAACAACAAGACGTATACTAAGGAAACAGACCTTCAATACCCCCTCCCAGGTACAGACAACACCTGGGCAATAACAAGTGAAGAAAAAGCCAATGAATTTACTAAATATCTTGCACAAGTATTTGGGACGAACACAATACAGGACAATAATCTTACTAGCACAATAGCAGAAGAATTGACAACACCACTACCCCCAAAGGCATTTCTTATATCAGAAATTTACAAAGAAATCAACAGACTTCCAAACAAAAAAGCTCCTGGTCATGATCTAATCACTCCCTTTATTCTTCGACACCTACCTCGAAAAACTGTTTTCTTTCTTACACACATCTATAACTACATTTTATGCACTACCTATTTTCCTCTCCTTTGAAACCCTCCACAATTAAAATGATTCCTAAACCTTCAAACTCTACCACTACTCCTTCATCCTATAGCACCTCTTCCAATAATGGGAAAAACATTTGAAAACTACTCCTGAATCTTCTAAAGCCTATTCTAGAAAGTAGTGAAGTGATACCAAATCACCAGTTTGGCTTTCCTTGTCATCACTCTACAGTGCAACAGTTCCATCAGATAGTAAATGCTATCTCTGTTACTTTTAAGAAAAAGGAATATTGCTCTGCAGTCATTCTCCACATAGAGAAAGCATTTGATAGTGCCTGGCACAAGGGCAAATTATGGAAACTAAAACCCCACTTACCTTCCACTTATATTTTAATTCTACTTAATAGATTTTTCTGTACTCACATAGATTCTTCTGTTTCTTCCTTCTTTCCCCAACACATTGGCCTACCACAAGGTAGCGTCTTAAGCCTAATCCTCTATTGTACATACACTTCTGATATCCCTGAGCACCCTAATACCACCATTTATTGCTTCGCCGACGACACCGCTGTTCTATCTTCACACAAAAATCCTACTATCGCATCAATTGCTCTTCGAAACAAACCATCTCCATGATCTTGAAAAATGGAAAATCAAAATAAATAGTAATAAATCCACTCACATTAGTTTCTCTTTTAGGAAAGCCCCATGTCCACCCATAACGATTGCCAATAACCCAGTGCCTTCAAAGAACTATGTATGTTAGCTTGGACTCTACTTAGACAGCAGACTTACTTGGAACATACATACAAAATTAAAAAGACAAGAACTTACTAGCCAACTTTCACATCTTCTGGACTACAGATCTTCACTTAACTTACGAAACAGGCGACTGATCTACAACACCTTACTGAGACCAATGTGGACATATGGAGCAGAATTTTGGGGTTCAGCGAAACAAACACACATAAACAAAAGACAAACAGGACAATAGAAAATTTTACGAAAAATTGTTAAAGCACCTTGGTACATTTCAAATAATACTATACATAACGACTTAAACTCCCCAACACTAAAATCCTACATCCATGACAAATACACTACATTTCATTCTTCAACCCAAAATCACTCCAATCCTCTGGTTCTTTCTATCTCCTGCTCCCTGAACAATGCAGATTAAGAATAAAATGGCCAAGAGACCTACTATATCGATAAAAACAAAATCAAGCAAATACACCAAGACAGTATAAATACAACAAAGTTGCTAGATGCGCATGTGCAAATTGCATAGAATATAAATTTTAAAAAATAAATAAAAATATCCATTTATTATTAATATATTAAAAATTAAATTGAAATTTATTTTATATTCTATATGAATACATCTTGTGTGCACTGAGGGAATTTGGCTCAGGTTGACTTTGAAATCTGTCTTACCCTTCTCAATGGCACTAAAAATCCTGTCTTTAATCTCCATCCAAAAATCGAGCAGACCTGAACCTCACCAAAATCAAAAAGGAGGACCACCCAACATATCTTGGAATAGTTCTAGACCCATGAAAGCCTGGAACAAATCGAATCATCCATAATAAAAGCCACAAATATTTTAGCTTTTCATGAAGATGAATGCAGGTTCCAATTGGAGAGCAGACCATCAGACATTGAAGGATCTTTACACTGGGTAAATCTGACCTGTGATCGGATGTGGAATCAACAGCTGGGGAACGGCATCTCAATCAAACTTCAGAAAAATAAACACAGCTCAGAACCAAGTGCCCAGGATAATCACTAGAGCCATTAGATCTACACCAGTATACGAAATAGGAACTGTCACTGGAGCACCTTCTATGGAAGACAGAAGAGATCTAAAGCTACTGCACCTTGAAAAAAAAAAAAAGAAAGATGCATACAGAACCAACCACTAAAAAAGAACGAAATAGAATCAAACCTATATGTCCAGCTCACAAAATTAATAAGTCAATCTCAGAACTCAAGCTCACCTCGATAAACACTGAATTAGTTGAAAAGACAGGCAGCTCACCACCATGGGATTCCCTTTTTAAGCAGGAGATAGTCTTGACAATTCCAGGTATCATGTGAAAGGAGCCCAATGAACCCCAATTAATGAGATACCTAGCCTTAAAGATGATAAACGAGAGATACCCCTCATCCTCATGGACCCCGATATACACTGATGGATCAGCTGCAGGCTTCACTGATAATGGAGGATTAGGAATACAAATAGAATTCCAGGATTGTACCACCCTAGACAAACCCATTCCTAGAGGCTCCATATGTACAAATTTTAAGGCTGTACAGAAGGCTATCCTAGAGGGCAGCAGAATAATGAGATAACTAAAAATGAATAAAAAAAAAATCCAATATTGTATTTCTATCAGATGCACCATCAAAACTTCTGTCCCTAGAGTTCAAATGGAATTCTGTAATCCAGATGCTAGTTGGAAAAATTAAAACCTTCAACTCCAGTACAAAAGAGAAGTACTCCAATGGATACTGGGGCACTGCGGACTAAATGGGAATGAATAGGAATGACTAAAGGTCATCTCTATAAATAAAGCTGCAATATGATAAGAGTAAAAGATACCCAATGAACAAACAAGGTGGCAACAGGATGAGGGCACACCTCTATAAAAAATTTAAAATTGGAGAAGTCCTCCCTAGCTGTAGGAAAGACGACCAGGATACAGAATATATCCTGAGCTGGAGGATTTCAGGAAGCTAATTTAGCCAAACCCCTCTGATTTGGCAATGAATCTCTATGGTGGTCTGGAAGATCTCAGAAAGGCAGTAGAGTTTACACTCTTTTTTATCTGGAACCTCACCATTTGAGCAAAGTTCGAAGAAATAATGATGAAGGTAAACTAATAGGAAGGGTTAGGGAGAAGAGCAGTCATGAATAGGGAATCTTTGAAGATGTCTTTACTGGCTGGAAGCACAAAAGAGAGATCTTATCAGGTCTGATACATACAACATAAATATGAAATAACAATGATCCTGGCTTCTTAAGTTAAAAGTTTTTAGTAAGCATCAGCATCCTTCCTAACCAAACCAAGCAACCATTTAAATTTTGACCTCCCAACTAATATAGGATTCCTCAATTTCCTTATCCTATAGCAAATGAGACATTGAAATATAATTACTATAAAAGACAATAAAAAATATCACTTACCTTTAATAAAGTTATGTTAGCACATACTATTATCAATTTAATACAATTATATAATTTACAATATTGAAATTAATAATCTCACTTTGTGTTACATATGAAAGATACTTTTAAAGGAATTCCTGCTTATGAATGATTTCAAAAACCCAATGTTCAATTATTATTAATATATTAAAAATGAAATTGAAATCTATTTTATATTCTATATTAATACATCTTGTGTGCTTGTATGCTCTAGCAAATGAGGCATTGAAATATAGCTACTATGATATACAGTAAAAAATATTTCTTACCTGTACTCAGATTGTTAGAAGCTGTTATTATTGATTTAGTACAATTATATTATTTACAATATTGAAATTAATAAGCTCACTTTGTATAACATATGAAGGATAATTTTAAAGGATTTCTTGCTTATAAATAATTTTAAATAGTTTAATAAATAAATGAAATATCTGTAGCCCAGAAGTAAACAACACCATGATCATTTTTTCAGAGGAGCCAATGTTCTATAATATTGAGCTATTAAAACTTGTTTCTTAGTTACTAAATCCATACCCCCCAGGTGAAGACAAATAACATTTTTGTATCTGTTCAGGAAGCGCGTTTTACATAACTTGAAGTTTTAAAATTTGTTTCTTTGTTAACAAATTATTTAATAAATAAATGAACCCTGTGTTCTTTACCATCTGGATATGGATATATAAGTATATATGAACATGGAGGGGGTTTGGCTCAGTATGATGTTGAAATCATTGTTAACACTCATTGAAACTAAAAATATTACCATTTTTAAAATTTGTCTTTGGTTCAGAGCATCTTTCCTACTGACCAAATCATGCTATCATTTAAATTAAGACCATCCAAAATGATTGGAGATAATAAACAAACCCACCCACCACTATAAGGCCAGCCCAAACACAATTTGAAGATTTAACAAATATTTAAAAATAGTTCCAACCTGTATTAAAAGTCTACTTCGCATAAATGCATAAGATGCAGAACCATGACTAAAAGAAGCCAAGGATATATTGGCGGAGAATGTAATATTTATACAACCAAAAAAAAATTAACAACAATGATGAAGGTGATCTGATATAAGGGTTGGGGATGGGGTATAAGAAAACATCGCAACAGAAAAGGTTTTAATTTTACAATTTTGTTTTTTGTCTTCTTTATCCACAGGATTCGACAGCGGCCGTTCTGTAATAAAAAAAAAAAAAGAATATTTAATTAAAATACTAGATATAAAATATTTCTAAAAATTATTTTATAACAAAACTTATCATTTAACAGTCTCATTTTTAAAAGCTAATAACGCTTTATATTGCTGAGAAAATTAAAGGTTGAAGAGGTGCTTATTGAGTCGACAGTGACCCATATGCCTTCTAGTGGTGTTCCTGTCAATCAACAGGAGTGCTGCACTTCTCTTTAGGCAGAGTCCTTCTAGGTTCACATTGGAGTTTATTTGTTTCCTAGTTTGCTACCAATTGAATTAGGTTTTTTGCCAACAGCCACCTCTGGCGCGAAAGGCACCTGTGCTGAACCCATCCTAACTAGGCTATCAGCCTTTTCATTACCTAATATTCTTCAGTGTCCAGGAATCCACTCAATAGATACTTTGTTGGTTCCAGAGAAACGTTTGAATTTTCTAATGATGTAGAGATGGTTGACCGTGATATAAGATGAGAAGGAGTTGATCGGGAGGGGGAAGGAGGGTTGTGCGGTCAAATAAATACTAAATTTTAAAAGATAGTATTTTTAATTATTACACCGACTTTTCGACCCACCTTGCAGGTCTTCATCAGGGCGTGGCATGTGGCACTGCAGGAAGCAATTGATAGACTGGCCGTGGGTCAAAACGTCGCCGTAATAATTAAAAATACTAAAAGATTGAGCACAAGCATTAATGGCTAATACCTCAGCCTGAAAGGCAGAAGTATATCTGCCTAGAGGTAAGGATGTCCCTTCATCGGGTTTATTAATTCTTCTGAAGCCATATTGCTTGTATTAGAAAAGAAGCAAATATTTACCTTATGTGGATTAATGCCAAGTCCATTATCTAGGCACCTTCAGAAATTCCATGGTGTTTTTCAACAACGCAGAAATTGTATCTAGAAATTTGAACAGACTCCATTAACAAAGATAATCTCATTGTCTTTAATAACCTCAAATTCATAACTAGTTAATTACACAAAAAGATACTCACCTCAACGATTGGTATTACTACTCTCCCAGAGGCTGTGGTCAGCAATAACACTGCGAATGCTATAAATATATTCTTTTCCATGCCCTCAGCCAGTCTTCTGAATGCTGTAGTGAGCATGATTCTTCATAGGTGAGATAAAAAGAGACCATTGTGATTTTCCAAAGAGGGACTTACCAAGTAAGTGTTATACCTAAAATAAATTTAAATTTACATCATAAAGGCAGTTATGAAACTTATATTTTTTATATTCAAGTGTATTTTCAAGACAGCCTCCTCTTTAAAAGCCAAAATAAAACCAAACTAAGCTATCCTTTAAATTAATACTTTTAGACTATGACTGACTAGGGATGATTTCCTTTGGCAATTGAAAATGAGACTGTGACACATTGGGTATAACAAGGGGGAGGGTACATAAAAAGTAATTAAAAATTATTTTATGACAAAACTTATTATTTTACTTCCTCGTCTTTAAAAGCGAATGTGATACCAAATGAAGTTTTCCTTTAATTTAACATTTTTCTACTATGAAGAAAGACTATCCATGAGATATACTAAAAACTGTTCTCTCTACAGCGCTGCCATTTTTGACGCTGTAGACTTTCTCCTCTTCTATGTTTTCATTGAATAGTTATAAACATAAATATAAAACAAAAAATATTATAAAAAACTGATATGGCATTCCCAAAACAAAGATATGAAATATATGTTATAACAAAGATTTAGAATGAAAAAACAACAATGTTATAACAAAGATTTAGAATGAAAAAACAACAATGTTATAACAAAGATTTAGAATGAAAAAACCACAATGTTGTAACAATGATTTAGAATGAAAAAAGATTTCATATGTCATATAACCAAACCATATTCCTAACTCCATCTTTGAAATATAAGAACCTAAAGTGAAAAAGGATACCATACACAGTTGAGACATAGCAGAGAGGTATAGAATTTTTTTTTGGACAACTTTGTATGATATTCCTTTATCACATGAGGTTTTCAAGAGTATAAAGCTATTTGAGGGAACTCTTCATATTTGTCTTCTTACAGGGCTGCCGCATTTGAGGCTCTAGGCTTCTCCCCCTACTTGATTTCGAAGAATTGTGCAATTTGTCTAAAAAATAAATTAAGCATAGTATTAGAAGTATGTTCAAGAACAGCTGTTGAT